AAKWRTTGTATTGTGTACCARTTTGCAGTTATGATGGAAAAGTTTGTTACTCCTGATGCTTTAGTTCAAAAGGTCTTACAGTARTCCAGACCAGAATGAACTYGCACTACTACACTTGATTTTCTAGTGTCACCAACCACTACTAGTAAGAGAAAGCCTATGAAGCTCTCTTTTTTGTTCATGGTTGCCKTGAGATCCTATGATATTTGTTACAGCAATTAAGATCTTCCCCTTGAGTCTCTTTTTCTTGATCCATCCTCAGGTGAATGTGGATTTTTTGTAAAGTGTTAACAAAATAAAAGCAGCAACAATCTGGGTAAATGGAATTTCTTGCTCCTTGTCATTTTGAAAATTCAACTTTGCTTTTTCCAAGAACAAGCTTCCAGCAGCACATGYAAAGTTTTCTCTTGGGGAACAATATGCAAACAATTCTTGGTAGCTTCTTCTTTCTTTTCATATTTTGGGTTAAATTTTCTTATCTGTCATCTGCAGAGGAACTACTAGTACTAGTACCACCACTGATAGGACCTGAAGATTGGTGTGCTGGTCTCTATATTATTGTTCAAATAAGCATTCCCCTCCTCCTAAATGATTCTCATATTTTTTGTCTGACCTTGAATCTTTCCTAGAAGTACTTGTGACTTTATGATTCATAGCTGAAGACTGATCATARTGAGTCTTTTTGGGAATAGGATTCACTTTAGTCTTAGAATGACCTATCATCAACATTACTGAACATTCTGAGTCTTGTTGGGAGCTGTTGAATTCTCTATGGTATTTTGTAATGACCCATCAGGTTAGTACTAATGGTAGAATTTTWAAGTCCAGGGAGGAATTACTAAGCTTGAATTGACTTTGGAATGAGACTGATCACAATAATGATGAAATTTGAAGAATATTGGGAGGAGGAATTGGTGGATTCTTTTCCATTTTGGAATGGCTGATCACAAGAATTAGAATGACTGACTTTTTTGGTTTAGTAGTACCTAGTACTTGGGAACAAAGTGACTGGTGTCCTTCATTTTGAAATGGTTGCTTTCATCTTGGATGACAATAAGTGGTACTAGTAGTAGTAGTAGCTACTAGTAGTACTAGTACTGGTGTGTTTAAAAATGAATAGTAATCTACTACTACTACTAGTATTTTCTTGTCAACAACAAGAAGGTAGCACTAGTAGTAATTTACTTTAAATAAAAAATCCAACAAGGGGGTCTAGGTATGAAAAAAATTTAATTAATTAAGGGTTTGCAACATTTTGCAACAAGCGTTGGGAAAAAGTGAACAATTCCCACCCCTCTTACTGTACAGTAGTAGTACAGTACCAGTTAATTCATAATAAAATTGTTACACCTAGTAGTAGAATTAACGCAAAATTTTGCCCCACTACTAATGTGACTTTGGCAGACTAGTTCTAAGCCACCAGAGTATCCTTAAGCATCCCAATGACCTGGATCCCAAAGTTATTGTATCATCTTGGTCTGGGCACTTAGTAGTCTGGTGGTCTAAAGAAGTTCGAACTGCTGCTGGCCTATTTTCTAGTAACCATCAGCCGGTCTCAGAACTGGCCAAATTTGGCCATACCAGGTGTTAGTGGAGAATCGCCCCCCTCCCCCTGGCCCCTACTAATTGTGTAACAATGGCACATGGGGCTGTTCCCAACACTATTAGGAAGCTTTTCCCCAAAGAACAGCAGCTGCTCTTACTACTAGGCCATACCAGCACCAGAGCAGTTCTAAATGTCCTATTACTACACTGTTTGCAGTCAAAAAGTGACCAAATACTATTAGTAGATCTATGTTGGATCAGTGCTAAATACTGGGCTTGAAAATAAACCAAAATTAACTGCAATGTTACTAGAAATAATTTTTGGTGTAAATCAGTTTGAGTAAAACTACTTTTTTCCAAGTAGTGGGTGGTAGGCTTTTTACGGTGAACGCACTTTATATCGAATTAAATGGTACTTTACTTCGTACCTGATAATTAAGAAAATAAGATTCCTTGCCGCTTCCCGGTTCTCTTCGATGCTGCGGGCTTATCCAGAAGAATATTTTTAAAAACTAAACCGGCCTTTAGTGAAGCACAGATTACTAGCTCATAACCCAATAGATGATTCCATCGCCATGGATGCGAAATGAACAGATGGGCTTCCGATGTGACACCACATCCCCCGATATTTTGTTTGCGGAACAGGCACGAACCACCAACAGTTGCCGCGATTTCACCTGGACTGATTCATTTCCTCTACCGTATCGCACCCAGCGGTACGAATCGAATCSAATCGAATTGACGTTAAGTGACAGGACACGACAAGACGCTAACCGATCAGACACAGARCTTCACAATCCAACCACACAACGCAACGATGAGGAGCAACACCACCACCGTTCTCGCCGCAATCTTGTGCGCTCTAGTTCTAGTCCACGGAAAAGGCGACAATGGCCGAGAAACACAGCCCGTCACTCGACAGAGAGAGCGCTCACAAGATTGGACGGTGTCCGAGGATCTTCGTCACCTAGCGGTCAACGAAACAGATGGCGAGGAGGAGGACAGTCACGCTGACCATG